ATTAATTAGTCAGCTACTTAGCAGCAAGATACTAGTGATAAATCTCTAGATTCTAAATTGTATTCGAACATTCCAGACGGTGTTTCTACTGTATTTTATAATCATTGAAACGTTTAAACGCTTAATTGTGTGGAACAGCGCCATCAACGGCGAATTGTATCGGGTAACCTTACACATAAGCTGACTGCATGTCTTGGTAAACTGTGTCCTGATGCGAACATTTATACTAAACTATTGACAATGTTGAACTATTCATCTGTGTGTGTTTTTTTTTATTTGTATATGTTTTTATTCAATCATATTTGTTCCTGAACTTGATTTATTGTAGATAACATTCGTTACTGCTGCTCAGAACTTGATACAATATGTCTGTCGCAACGTGCCATTCACTCCCTATACAATTCATAAATACGTGGTTGTTTTCTTTCTATAAATTTAGTTTTGATATCTACAGCTAAAGGGTTGATATTTATTAAACTAATTAGAATCAAAAACAATGGGGACCAGCAAGCAAGTGAATACGAGCTCTTTTGTATTTTTTTAAACAAATTTAAACTCGAATACTGTAAACACAGAGAATCAAAGCTATGACTGTATGATGTTTGGTGGTTATGTGAGGTAAAAACACTATGAGTTATGTAAACACGATTTATAAGGTAAAGATGACATTTGTCAATTCTCGATACCTGAAAAATATGGTATAACTTTTTCATTTACACGCTTATAAGTTGGAAAATCTTAAACAAACTATTTGGATACATATGTTTATGTTTATGATATCAACTCGCGTTTTGTTCTTCATTTGGTCAGAATGATTACAATGTTATCACTAGTAGCTTCAAACATATTGGTTCATTTGATTTAACACTATATATGGTAGATGAAGTATATGTATTTTGTTCTCATAAAATTACAACATAGAGGGCAGTCGTCATATTAACTTTCTTATTCACCATAAGAAGTTGATAAAGGTGGCATCCTAAACCTAACCCTAAACCTAACCCTCGCCTGCGCCCACACATTTCAATTTTATATGTCCAGGTTTCTAAAGTAGAGACAAATACAATTAAATAAGACAGGGAAAGGTTAGAGTTAGGCTTAAGGAAGTCCTCCCGATAAAGGCATGTAAGCTCTTTGTGATTCTGACGACGTATATTTGATGTGTAACTTCCAGTTCCAATAATCGGATATCGCCAACGAAATAAGACCACATTCAAACAATGATTGGAGAAAACATGTCAATCGCAATTATTACCCGATTACTGTGCTTGAAACAATAATTAATTAATTTTCTATACGTAATTATGACGCAAGAAATATTTTACTTAACATTCATTTAATAAATAAATGCTTGAACTACATAGTGAAATTACAATAGTTGGCAAAATAAGCTTACTTGTTGAAATCATAGAAATTAGGCAGCCTTCAGAGAAGTAAGTATAATAAAGTTAATGAAGAACATATTACATACAGGTCATCTGAATTAAAAATGCGTGTCGAATAACAGTTAATTAATGTTAATTCCAGAATTCGTACAAATTTAGGATAAAAATATAAAGATACCTAACTATATGAAAAGTGACTGAATCATGATTACTTCCTTCTGGCGTTCTTTTATCTGTCTATCATAACTTTAAATGTGAGTTTCTTTATTGTCATAAAATCGCTTTGAGGGAATCGCGCCAACATCCGTGAGATCACCAAGTGAAGTCTCATAACTTTCGGCGCTATTCAATGAGGGCGCACTATCGTCATCAGGTACTACGCCCTTCTCGATCAGAGACAACATTTTGACGAGGACAGTATTCATTTTATTTATACTTGTGCTGACTTCAAACCTGAAACATGAAATAAAAATCAAATATTCAGCGACGTGGTAACGCAAAACTGCTTAAAACTATAATATAATATGCATCAGAATATGTTTATAAAAAATAATGTATTCAATGTTTAGTATCCACCGTATACCAGAATCTTCTAGACAGGTCACACAACAAGAGAAGACACACCTTATTTAAGTTTATACATGTGACGATATATGATACTAAACGTAGTCGCGTCACGTTTATTTCTACCTCTAAGTATCTGCTGTATCTCCGAACCAATAATATATGCTCACCAAGGTATAATCTTAACAGTACGCATGACTCAGTGTATCATTATTATTAATGACTGAATACTAGTACGTCTGACAACGTACAGGTCGGTATGTAATCATTATTAAGCACACCTGATTGTCTTAAAATTATGGGATGAATACTTTGCAAAAATGTTATTTCGTTTTTTTCAGAATATCTGCCAAGCATATTTTTGACATTTTTGCTATACCTGAAACTTGACATATCTTGTTTTATCGCCATGATGTCTGCTTGTGTCACCCCTGCGCCTTCTTCTTCGTAGCCATCGGCACGCTTATCAGATATGTGACGTAAAGTCAGCTGACGGAGTACGGCCTGTAAATCGAGATAAAATAAATATATGGGTTTATTTTTTTGAAAAATGGCAACGTTGACTTGAAGATTTATTGATATGCACATATTGCTGGTGCCAGATAATAATGTATTTACTAGTTTACCTCATACTGCGTCTGTAGACTCTCAATAATATCAGAGTTGTCCTGAGAAAAAGGAATATATATATATATATGATAATTATATATGTTAATTATAATAATATATATTTCACGTTTATCAAATTCCAAATTAGTTTGTGTTTTCAAGATACAAATTGCCGTTGTTTTTGCTACAATCAGGAGTAATTGTCCCGAGGTAAGATATATATCAATCGTATTTTTACCCGTCTTCGTGGCGCATACTTTGAGGTATCCTCGTAATAAGCTCATATTATTTGCAGTATATCCTTTAACCTTCACCAGAAGACGTATATGGCCGCTTGGTAGAATTGAATCTTTACATTGAAACAGTGTCAAAGTTACGCAATAAATCTCTGCCCAACGTGCTGTATTCAAAATCAAATGTGATTTTAATTGTGGTTAAAGTTTTTGTTAGATTTGAATTTTCTAATTAAAAAGAACACGTTAATGAGCTACTCTCAGCGTCTCATTATATTTTCCACCATTGCATAGTGTACTCATTTTCCTAGACTGCGTAATGTCTGTTGACGCACTGCCTATTTCAATACTGTAACTATCGACGAATGAAGCTAAAAACAAGCAATACATGCAATACAGAGCAGATATATTAAAGTATTGACATGGCATATTCAAAATATATTTATGATATACCTTCTTAGTTTTCTTGTGGAAACAGTCGCAAGACAAGACTCGTTTTATGCTTCTAGTGCTTGGAATTAGATTAAAAGGTGGTGGTAAAACAGTGTCAGATCCCATGAATCCCAGCCACAAAACTGTGCGATAGAACTTCCACTCTGCATCGGCGTTTTCCTATAGACGATAAAGACATGTAGCATACTGAATTAAGTGCCTGTCTGATGCTATTTTGTAAAGTCACTTTCTTACTCTGTTTATCTTAACTTGTTGGTGTCTCCCGGTTATTTCACATTTCCTTGTATTGTCACAGCAACCACATAGCCACAATACTGCAGTAAAACTAGTACAACTATTTAATAATTTAACCCATTTATTATCAACTTGCAGTGAAATTCGC